ATATTAAAAAACAAAGTTAAACATCGATTTTTGTGTGTCACGTGGTATGTTGAATGCAGCACTGGTCCAAATATGCTAGAATATAAAATAAGAGCCTCTTTTTAATTTGCTACGGTATTGCTGATGTAATAAATCAAACTCAGTGGCATCCTGCCCACCTCTTTCCATTTTTGTAAACACTCCCTTATATACACTTACTTCTATATATGACATGAATTACTAATCGGAAGCTCAGAATGTCCCTTTAGTGGCTTTCTCAGCAATTTTAACAATTTTGGATGCCATCTTTTTCTTTCAAACCAAGATTTCAAGGAGGTAGGGTGTGTCTTTAGTTTGCTCAAAATTTCATATTTGTTTTAGACTGAGATACAGCTTAGTTATTAAGCCTGATAGATTATAGTGGAATTCTATGGTATCAATATAGTAATTTATCATTTTTGGTAATTCAACTGTATATATATAAAACTTTAAAAAATTATTTTCTTTCATGTCCTCCACGTGCAAAATTTTAAAAGGCTTAGCAACCTACGTCAAGTAGCAACCAAGTACAAGAGTCATAACTAGAAGACATAATTGTTTTCTGTACTTCTTTATTTACTCTTCTGTGTTTTAAGAAAAATAAGTTTAAGAACTTATTTTTTAAATAGCAATAATCTATATACATATATAATGTATAATAATGGAAATGTGACTGTATTTTACAAAATACTAGTCTACTAAAACACAGCCAAGACAGGTCACTTTGTAAAGACTAAAGGTCAGTTTTATATTATTGGATACAGTAAGATGAGTGCACATGAGCTGCATCATTGTAACTTCTGTATTGTTAGCCAGGCAAGCGTGCCTGAAAAGTCAATATAATAAAAATAATAAATATATGTAAATGTGTGATATGAAATTTAAGCTATTCAGTCTAACATTTATGTTTTCGTGTTATAATTTGTAGTCATTCTAGAACGAAAAAGGCATAATTTATATTTATTTCCTAATTGTTTAAAGTGGTTAAGAGATTGGTCAAATCGACCAAACCTGTACAGAGAATCATTAGTGAAAATAACAGATAAAATATAAAATTGTTTTCTTAAGAAACATTTGATTGATAACTGTCTGCAGATTATGAAGATTTCACATGTGAAATTTGAAATTTTTCTGATGCACAAAAGTAGTATTTTTAATCTAAAACTGAAGACTGAGCCTGTGCTGAAAGAGTTAATCAGTCATCACTTCTGTGATGTAGCTATTTCACTTACTAGATTGAAGTTGGTCCTTATTTCTTATTTGGTTAATCAGTCATCACTTCTGTGGTACAGCTATTCCCACTACTAGATTGTAAGTTGGTTCTTATTTGGTTAATCAACACATCTATAGAATATTTGTTAGTTTATTGAAAACTTTTATAAGTTATACTGGTATTGTAATAATGAACTTGTGCTAAATAATGAAATAAATGTATTAGTTGTTGAGAAATATTTCAAGGCTAGTTAACAATGAGGGATTTCTTTGATTAAGGTCTTCTACTTCACTAACGATGTAGTATTTATAGAAATCAACCAAATTAGATCTTGTAAAATGTGTCATTATATGCCGTAATAACTAATGGCAACTGAATATTTTAATTTGACTAGATTATCCAACAATAGTTTTATGGTACATTATAAGACTAAGTTTTCTACTGAAATTTTTTAAAGGAAATTTATAGGAACTCACTTTGTTTTATTGTTTTCCTCCAGTCTTGGAAATACAGCTGGTATTGCAACAAATGGTCCAAATATGGATCCCTTTGCCCAAGCATACTCAGGGATGCAGCAGTATTCAGGTAAGCTTTACTTTGCTTGCATTTTTTGGACATCAGATTTAAGTATGTTATGAAACATTTTTTCATCAAGTTTAAAGAACATTATTGAACTTAATATGTCTATTCTTATTAGTAAGAATTTGTTTTCAATTTTTAGTATTCTTTATGGTGACAAAAAAGATAACTACAAATAACATCAGCATAAACAATGTAAAAAATAATCATTAAAACTAACAAATCAAATTCAAATGTGTATGTGTGTGTGTGTATTTTTTATTTCAATATTTTATTTTTAAGACAAACTTACAGGGAATCAAACTCGACTTGCTGCAATTATATGCCAGTTCTAAACCACTTAGGCTATATATACATATATATATATATATATATATATATATAT